ATATATATATATATATATATATATATATATATATATATATATATATATATATATATATATATATATATATATATATATATATATATATATATATATATATATATATATATATATATATATATATATATATTTCATACTCCATTATGCCCCATTGGTGGTACATTGCTAAAAACAGTGCCACATATAAGAAAAATTTACAAACTTCATAATTCAAAAGTTTTAATTATATCGAATTCTATATGAGTTAAATTCGATGTAAGCTTCAGCATATCACATGAAATAATAAATTACTGCATCATATAACATGACACAGTAAAATTACATTAAAGTTCATTTGAAGTCATTTTTACTTAGCTAAGACAAATTTTGCTAAATTTTTAAACTAGTGCAACTGATATATATATATATATATATATATATATATATATATATATATATATATATATATATATATATATATATATATATATATATATATATATATATATATATATAAATTATGTTAGTGTATTATACAAATAGAGTGCAGTGTTCTTTTAGAACAGAGCTTTTAGAATAGTAAGTAACAGTAACAGTAATTATAAAAATTTATACTTTTTACTTAAGTATAATTTTTACTTTTTGGTAAAAAGTTTCCTATATAAGTAATAATTGATTTCAAGATAAATAATAATAATATGAGAAAATATAAACGCACATCAAATCGACAGACATGGAGTGAAAGTGTTATGCAACAAGCAATTCTCTCTGTGATAAACGATGATCAAGGATATAAAAAAGCTGCCAAGGTGTATAGTATACCAAAAACTACCATTGAAAGGAGAGTAAAAAAGTTTCGAAAAAATCCTGATATTAAAAAAGCATGTGAAAAGTGTTAGTTCAAATGATTATTTATTTATTTACAGTATAGATACAATGTATTTAAAACATAATCAATACTATTACCCTTTGAAAAGTTATATTTATAATACTTTTATAACATAATTTACACATTTAATCTTTTGGTGATGGGCTATGAAACAGTATTATAGCTTTAAATAAAATTATTAAATGTTCAAAAAATATTATAAATGTTTTCTAATTAATTTTGAGGTGGTTAAATTAGTACTTTTGTATTTCAGCTCTAAGTGCTTTCAAAATAGTATTCACCTGAGAGGAAGAAAATGAACTTGTTATACACATTCAGCTGATGGAAAATATGCTTTTTGGACTTAGCTCATTTGAGGTCAGAAAGTTAGCGTATGAGCTGGGAGTTAAAAACAATAAGAAACACAGTTTTAATAATGACCTTGGCATTGCGGGTTATGACTGGTATAGAGGTTTTATGGAGAGACATTCCAAACACTTGTTGCTTTGTAAACCGGAGGCTACACCAGCTGCTCATGCCATGGGCTTTAACCAAGTGGCTGTGGATTCTTTTTTTTCTTTACTGGAAGAGGTTGTGGATACAAACTAACTACATGTTGAAAATATCTGGAATTGTGATGAAACAGATATTTCTACAGTTCCAATGTGTCTCTCTAAAATTGTTTCAACTTAAGGGAAAAAACAAGTTAGTTCTCTCAGCTGATAAGGCTTAGCTTGTCACAGCCGTTATTTGCTCTTCAGCAAGTAGGAGGTACATGCCACCCATGATGATCTTTCCTCGTAAACGAATGAAGCCTGAATTAATGAATGGAGCACCACCAGGTGCTTGGGCTGAATGTTACTCAAGTGGGTGGATACAAAAAGAATTGTTTATTGTTTGGTTAAGAAAACTTATTCAATATTAAGGGGCCAAAATAAGTTCACCAGTACTATTTATATTAGATGGACATAAATGCCACACTAAAAGTATTGAGTTTATTATCATTGCGAGAGTGAATTGTGTAATTTTTCTGTGTTTGCTTCCTCATTGCACACATCGAATTCAGCCCTTGGATTTGGCATTTATGAAGCCACTTAGCACTTACCATGACTACAATATCAGGAAATGGTTGAGAACAAGTCCTTGACACGTGCTCACTCAATTTCAAATAGCTGCACTTTTTAGCTCAGCCTAACTGGAAGCTGCAACAATGACAAATGCTATTAATGGCTTTCAAAAAGCTGGCATATGGTCAGTTAATAGAAATCTTTTTTCAAAGCAGACTTTCTAGCAGCAAAAACTACTGATATTAGATTCATTAAAACAAACCTTGTGGCTGATACATGTGACATTGCTGTTACTAGCAACCTCTGTGCTTCTGTCAGCCATTCATCTGTAAGTACCAGTCATCAAATGTTACCTGCAATCCAAATATCTGCTTTTAGCAGTAATATGAATGTTTCTAACGTCCACACGATTGCTTCTACAAGCCAATCATCTGATTTTACCAGCATAATATCCACATCTTACAGCATTTTAACCACTTCTACGAGCAATTTTAATACCAAATCATTTCAAAATGTATCTCCAAGTCTTATTATTCTAATACTAAAGCAGTCACAGCAAAGAAGACTATCAAGGCAGAAAGGAAAAAAAGTGCTGACCTCTTATCCATATAGAGCCTCACTATTAGACACCCTGATTAAAAACAAGCCAAATCCTTCAAAAAAAAGGAAAAAGGCTCAAAATGACTAACAAAAATTGTTATGCATCAAAAAAAAAAAAAAAAAATCTGAAGGAGATGGACAAAACAATGCATCTAAAAAAAAAAAACAGTCAAAAATTCAGAGGAAGACAGTTCATGTCTCTACTGTCAGGAAAATTACTCTACTAGTGTTGAAAGTTGGGCTTCTTGTAGTGATTGCCACAGCTGGGCATATTACTCTTGTGCAGGTTTAGAAGAAAAAGATAAACGGCCAAACTTAATTTTTAAATTATGTTTTTAAACTTTAGCTAAATTCTAAAACATATGTTATTGTTACATTGTATACCCCATATTGCCCCTAGCATGGAACAAAATGGTTTTTTTTCATAGATTTTTAAATGTTGAATAACTTTTTTTTTTTTTAATATTATTGGCATTACTTTTGTCAGATCGGAGTTTATGTTGTCTCTTATCATTTAAAACAAAAATTGTTTTGATTTTAATTATTTTTGACAGTTTATATAAATATATATATATATATATATATATATATATATATATATATATATATATATATATATATGAATATATGTATATATATATATATATATATATATATATATATATATAAATATAAATATATATATATATATATATGTATATACATATATATGTATGTATATACATATATATGTATGTATATACATATACATATGTGTATATATATATATATATATATATATATATATATATATATATATATATATATATATATATATATATATATATATATATATATATGAATATATGTATATATATATATATATATATATATATATATATATATATATATATATATATATATATATATATATATATATATATATATATATATACATATGAATATATGTATATATATATGTATTTATATGTATATATATATAAATATATATATATATATACATATATGTATATACATATACATGTATGTATATACATATACATATGTATGTATATATATATATATATATATATATATATATATATATATATATATATATATATATACATATATGTATATACATATATATATAGTTATTATTTTTTTATAAAAATAATATAAAAAATTATAAAATTATAATTTAATTATAATTTTAATTTCATTTCTATTTTCATTTATACATATTTAAATTTATTAATATATTATAAAAATATATTTTTTATATTAATTTTTGTTATTTTTATTTATTTATTTTATATTATATTTCATTTTTAACTTCATCTATTTACAAAAACGACTAATTACAATAATATAACCAAATTTAAACCATGCCGTAACCCTAACCCTAAACCTGACCTTGATGCCTGGCCAAACCAAACTCTCAGTCGATGTAGCAGCACTCCCTCGCGAGTCAGGCTATTTGTCAGTCAATGTATGTACTTTTCATTCTCTATAAAAGTTTCTTAAGGGTACATTTTTTTACAAAAAAAATCATACTTACAGGGACAAAAAAAAAATATGTATATATATATATATATATATATATATATATATATATATATATATATATATATATATATATATATATATATATATATATATTATATATATATATATATATATATATATATATATATATATATATATATATATATATATATATATATATATATATATATATATATATATATATATATATATATATATATATATATATATATATATATATATATATATATATATATATATATGTATACATATATATAAATATTTACCTTGACAGCATCTTGAATAAGGATATAAAAAAATCTACACCCTGTAACACTAATACAAATTTTTTTGTTTTATCAGGGTCAATTTTAAGAATAAAATGAGGGGGAAGAGCGAATCCTTTAAAAATGTTGACTGCTTTCTTAAAAAAAACAAAAAAAATTGTAACTAAAAAACCAACTAGCCAATATATTTTATTATATACCAACTATAAGTTGGTATATAATAAAATATATTGGCTAGTTGGATAGTAAAATAATAGCCTTTTTTGGGAAGGAAGGGTGTGAGGAAAAAAATTAGGATGCACTAGACTTTTAACAATATTTTTAGCTACCATCATTGAAATTAGAGTCAACTTCATTTTGAAAAAGAGAATAATTTGATCAAAAATTCAAATTTTTTCTTTTCTTTTATTTCATGCTTTCCAAATCTTTTTCAAATCTTTTTCAAAACTCTTGCTTTTTAGTATATACTCTTGACCAATTTTTTTACAATTAGAACACTTTTCACTACAAAATATCAACTTAATACGAAAAACATAAATGCCGTTGGATGCCAACTGCTTAATGTTTATGTACATAAAGTTATTTTACAAAAAAAGCATGTACATGTACTAATTTTTATTTATTGTTTATAAAAACTTACACATTTTATTAGTTAAAAAATAATGAACGTACCACTAATAATAAACTGTCCATTTTCATTTAGCTTTGATAAATCGCCTCTGGAATTTTTGGGATAGATATCAATACCTCTGTAATCATTTGACCAAGATCCAAAAATAAGTAGACATTTTTGTTCATCAAAAGGAAAATATTTTGTATCAATTTTGCAGCTACTTCTAAATAAAAGTACACATTTGTTATAACAGTGTACATGCTAATGAGAATAAAGTATATTAATGTTTTACACATATTTTACTATATAAAGTTCACATGTATTAAAACATAAATTGCACATGCATTATAGATACTATATTAAATTATACATTATACTTTCATTCATTGAATGATTTAAGTGGTTATGAGAGATAAAATGTTGCTTTTTATAGCATACATTTAGTTGTATTGTTATGTATACAAGCACTTTTTTATTGAGATTGATGCAATTGCTGAGTACTTTGAAAAAAAAAATTATCTTAACAATTAAGTCTATGATTCAAATTAGACTATAGAGTTATGCATAAAATGCATTTCTCATAGGGTTAGAGATGTGCAATTATCATACAAAAGTGTATTTAGGGAGGGAAAGAGGACTTTAATAAAAAAGTATGTACGCACTCATTTAAAAAATTAATTGATATTTTTCTAATTTATTGCAATTAACAAATACTTATTAATAAAACTATTACTGGGGGAGTAGGGAGGGGGTTGAGGGAGAACATCTCAAAAGAGCGTAAAAATACAATGTCATCATTGTTTATAATTTTTCAACTAATCCATAAAAAAGTTAATTTTCTGACTAGTTATACTAGTTTGCTAACATAAATGGGTCTATAAATAAAAAGGGGAAAGGGGTAAGTGCAATCACATCCCAGCAACCTGACACAGGTGCTGAGTAAAGTTAATTAATTTATTTAATCATTAAAAAAACTACACCTACTAAAACAATATTTTTTTTTAATAATTAAAAAAGATTAAATACTGACTTCAATGCGAAACTTAAATTTTTTAAATTAAAGGTCATTGTCAAAATGCCGGGCTGATATTAATATTGTTGTGTTCTTGATCTCAAAAATATAACAACTAACTGCAATTTCATTTATTTTAAGAACTAGTATAACAATGTATATATTAAATATAAACAATCACAACGCATTACTTAAGCTTTCTTATTAACAAGTTATGCTTTCCGCACGAACATGCTTACACAAATCAAATGTTGTTATGTTACAGAAGCTTATTTTTGATATTTCTATTGAATAACAACATAGCTTGTGGTTTACTAGTTGTAGCATGGGGTACACATCTATAATTTTTAAGCATGCTTAGAAAATACTCTCTCCAATTCCTGCCCATAAAATCAATCGTTTTAATCATTTTGTCTAATGTCTGAATAAAGTTTTTTATTATACATTTTACTTGCGGATATTGAGGTGTTATTTTAATGTGCTTTATGTCAACATTTCCAAAGTATACTTTAAAGCTTTGCTTCAAAATGGTGGTCCATTGTCACTTTCAATTTTGTTAGTATAATCAAGTATAGCAAATAATCCTTTCAACCTATCTATGAAAATTTAGAATATTGTGATTTTCACTAAATCAACAAATGGTAACCTGGAATAAAGATTTTTTATAACAAATAAATACCCTCATGACAGTTATGGTTCGAAACAATCCATTACTAATTTATTCCTAACATGTTCTGCATAAAATGTATTTATTTTTATCTTTTGATGAATAAAAATTATGGAAAGAAATCGGGTATGAATTGGTTTTACATTTAAACATAAAACAAAGAATTTTAAAAATATTGAGCTCATATATATTAAAAACATCCATTTCAAATAATAGAGGCTTGCCATGAGTATAACAGTCTTTAAAATATACAATATATGCTAAATGCTTCTGCTGACAATAAAGAGGTTTAACTTTATTTTTAATTGTATAACCCCAAGCAATGTTTGCATAGTTAATGTGACAATAAATAAATGAGTGATATAATTGTACTAAAGTATGTTTATTTAAAACATTTCTTGGTTTGTACAATATTCCTATACTTTTTGAAATTTTACTTGATGATTGATGATTTTTCCATTTAAGATTTTCATCAATACAAACACCTAGAAAGTTGGTTACTCTTAGTTATTTATATTGTATATTGTCAATAACAAGATGAGGCATGTTAATTGGCAGTTAATGTTTTTTGATGAGAGGATGGAAAAGAATCCATTTAGTTTTATCAATGTTAAGAGATAATTTGTTAGTTTTAAACCAGTCAGATGTTTTGGTTAACTCTATGTTCACGTAATGAAATAGAGTAGGAATGTTTTTGTGTGACATAAATAAATAAGTGTCACCAACAAACGGATCCTTGAGGAACTCCATTTGTAATATTTAACAAATTTTATGAAAATATTTTATTGGCGTAAATAAATTGTTTACGATTAGTTTAACAACTTTTCAATCATTTTAAAAAATTGCCTGTTTCACTATAATATTTTAAATTTTTAGCATTAATTTTATGATCAATATATATATATATATATATATATATATATATATATATATATATATATATATATATATATATATATATATATATATATATATATATATATATATATATATATATATATATATATATATATATATATATATACATATATATATATATATATATATATATATATATATATATATATATATATAAAAAAAAAAATATATATATATATATATATATATATATATATATATATATATATATATATTTATTTATATTATGTATATATACTACATACATTCACCTGTTAACTTGCGGATTTCCATATAATTTTAGATGTTGGTTTTGAAATGTATATACAGGTTGTTGTTGCTATATTGGTGTAGTTCTATTTTAGTATTCTAGATTATCTAGTGGTAATAGTTTGTTTTATCGGCATACATGTTGTATGACTACTAGTGTTTGCGTCTGGCTTGCGTTATACCAGTTTGGGTGACTTGTAACCAATTTTGTACAAATAACTCATACTAATAAGACATTTTACTACAGTATGCACACACACGTACATTATATCGACTATTTACATTACAGACACAGCTATAAGAACTTAGGGCAGTTTGCAACTCTCACTGACCCTTATTGCGCTGTGATAGGCCACTGCACTTACTGATACTCATGCCAGGGGGTTGCTTACAATTATATGCAAGTTTTGCTGAGCTGTACTTCTTATCCTCTGGTCTCTGTGTTGGTGCAAGGGCATGTGGCGATTGACCTGATGAGATACTTTGAGAATAGTTCTTTTGGGATAACATAAAAGGGTTAAATTGACAAGGGGATTGGAGCTTTATGTGTCAAACCAGTCTTGGATGAAAGCTACAGGTCTTCTTGAGTTCATACTGTACATTAAGGCACACATCCATGCCTTTCTCAAGACCTCCGTAAAACAGATGTATCTATAGTGTATGTTTGTCACCCTAATGGTGCAGACCACATGGTAACTACTTATAAAATGAATAATTCTACTCCATCACTGATACTGTCTATACATAACATTTACGCTTGACACTAACAACTTTTTAGTAGCACAAAAGTTAATGACTCTTACTTTCCTCTACTATTGTTTATTGTTCTTTTTTATCGCTCCAACATTTATTTTTAGTATTTTTCTAATTAGAGACTTTTTGTTTTCCACTGGACATCTATCTTTTGTACTTTTATCTTACTCTGCTAAACTCTTTTTAACTTATTATGCATCTCAAAAATGTGCAGCTTGACTAAAATGCATTGCATTTACAATATATATATATATATATATATATATATATATATATATATATATATATATATATATATATATATATATATATATATATATATATATATATATATATATATATATATATCAGGGCTCGAATTAAGCATATCGTGATCGCGAATCGTGATCGCTTTTTACACCTTCGCAATTAGTTTTTTCTTAAAACATATTTTCGCGATTGGTTTACTTTTTTAGTTGTTTATTTACTACTTTTCTAATTTAGCTTTTTTTTTTTTTGGCAATTCTTAAAAGTAATGTTTTCATAGTAAAGTACGTCGCGCAAAGTTAGTCTTTTGAATAGAAGTATAATCATTTGCTTTTGAATAGAAGCATGATCATTAGTTTTGGAATAGAAGCATGATCAATTGCTCTTTCGCACAAAGATTTTTACTCAAACTACTTTAATCTCCGCGTAGAAGCAAATTAAAAAGACAAAAGTTAAAAATAGTTTTTTCTTTATTCTATTTTTTTAACAAAACAGCATTTTTATCTTTTTTTAAAAGAAACGTTGCTCCAAATTAACTTAATAACGATGATTTAAATTATTATTTTATAAACAATTTTATATAATTATTTTTACTACTTTAAGTATAATAAAATATATATAAATTTGTTTTAATTAAATAAAATTTCTATTGGTAAAATTGTGCTAAAAGAAACCAGCAACTCTTTTGCTTTCACGTTTTTTGCTTTAACGACCTTGAAACTATTGAAGTTATATTTAGTTAACTTTACTGAATGGATAGAGTATATCACTGTAAATTAACTTATAACCTAAATCAAAACAACCAGTTAAGTTAAGATAGTAACTTACAGTTACTCAAGTATTAATTTAACAATTATATTAATTTATTTAATATACTCGCAAAAGTTAGCCATAGACATGTTTCAATTTAGATCTTACATGTTGTTAACACATAATATAAGCTTTTAACTAATAATTATTTTAACAAAAATTATCGAATAGAATATGAAAAACGCCGCACCATTTTTTTATATTTTCATTTTATTTATAGCGACATCTAAACTAAACATTTTCTATAAATACGCAATTGTTTTCAGGAATTTTATTTAAAAAGAAATCAATTTAACAAGAGAACTTTAGCCTTAAAATTCACTTATTTAAATAATTTTGTGATTGAAATTTGAAATTTAAATAAAATTTAAAAATTTAAAGAAAGTTTGATGAAACAAGAGATAAAAGAAGAAAGTTTTTTTTTCTTAAATCGTAAATTTTTTTAACGTTTTGAACTATACATTTTTTCTTGGAAATAGTTTTAAAAGTAGAAACATTCTATTGTAAACATCAAAGCAGTGATTGGAAATTGCAAATTAAAATAAAAATTATAAAAATTTTAAATTAAATTTAATAAATTATTTTACTTCTGTTTGAAAAATTTTTTTCTAAAAAAATAATTCAAACATATTCTTATACTTAATATAATTTGATTTATTAAACAAAATCTTTTGTTTCACTTTTTTTTGGAAAACAATTAAAATAAAAAAAAATTGAATGAAAACTTCAGTTTAAAAACCATTTGAATGAAAACTTAATTATACTTAAATTTTTAATCGTACACTTGATCGGGAAACAATAATTTATAAAACTAATGTTTTTATGCTTTGATCTTACTCGTTTGGTCCATATATTATAAACTCGTATAGGTCTATAGGCGCAAATATGAAGTTTTGTTTTAGTTCTTAACTAGATCAATTTTATTTATTTGCTTCCTTTTATTTTAAATGCGTTTTATTTTATAAATTGAATAAATCAACACGAAACAGCGTCACGAATTTGTTTTACATTAACCCAAGCTCTTTATATTTTTAAAACAACTTTGCAGTTTGGTTTAATGTTGTTTTATAGCTTTTAATAATTAAATACTTTTTAAAATTAACACATGTTTTAACGTCAGCATGAACGTATTAAATAGTTTTCTTTGACTAATTAAAGAGGTTTAGATATTGCAATATTGTTTTTTCTCTTACTTTTTTACTTTTACTTTTTTAACTGCAACTAAAACTTTAAGTTATAACTTAGGTTGTAAATAATAACAGTTACTTACGCTCTTTTAAACTCTGCTGAACAAGATAATTATAAGATTATATTTATATATGAGAGATAATGTATTAAAAGTAGAACAATTATGTACAAAAGTTACAATTATATACTAACGCAACTTTCCTCTCCCCCCCCCCCACTCAGTACCGCAAAGAAGCGCAAGGTTAAAGGGGGGGGGGGAGGGGTTTGGGGGATAAAAAACTTTTTTTTTCGCGATTAGATTTTTTTGCGTTAATTCAAGCCCTGTATATATATATATGTATATATATATATATATATATATATATATATATATATATATATATATATATATATATATATATATATATATATATATATATATATATATATATATATATATATATAGCATCAAATATCAATATAAACAAGATTGTCTAGAGCTTATCTCACTAGCAATGATTTTGACAACTTTGGTAATTTGCCAAACAATGTAGGGTAGATTAGGGTATTATAAGCACAGATTTCTACTTACATATTTTTCTTTATGAAAAATTAAATTTCATTATTTTAGCATCAAAATTTTGTGCAACAGACTTATTTATAATAATATTTAAACAAGGCAAAAATTTAATTGCGTTTTAATTAGATGAAAGCCGCAAAATACGGTAAATAAATTTACGCTAATTATACTGATTCCAGTTATCACCATATAAAGTTAATTTAAAAAATACTTTAACTTAACTGCTTACATCTTAGAAATCTTTTAGTACGCTCATATTTTCAAGGTGCTCATATTACCCTGATCTACCCTTCCATATGGAGAAAAAGACAGTAAGTGTACATAGATTGACTAATTTAAGGATCTTAACGCACTACCTAATTTTTTTTACTAACTAGCGAATCATAATATGTTCTACATGAACCGCTCTAATAAATCAAATGTCATTATATTACTTATTTTGTTATTACTAACTCTCAACACATATGGCGTGCTCTTATGGCATACTCTTATGTAAATAAAAAAAACATACTCATATAAATAAAAAGCTTTGAATATTCAGCGGATGTAATGCAGACCCAGACCTAAGACCAGATTTAAATGCAGAACAGCGTTAAGCCAGCATATGGTATAGGATCAGTAATATTGAAATAGTTTAACTAAATGGGTGAGTAAATTTGACCTTATCAAATTCATATCTGGTGCTCAGTACATGTACTGAGTCGTTTTATAATGATGCCAAATAAACCACAGCCTCTTTAACTAGTTTTCTTTTCTCTTTTATTAAGCATTATTAATGTTTGCGTTTTTTTTTTTAGAAAACTTAATAACAAAAGATTCAAGGCACCAAAGGTTATATCTTATTAATTAGAAATGTAAAAAGTTATGAATAGAAGCAATAGTTCAAATTCAAAAAATAAAATAAAAATAAGCGAGTTAAACTTAACAAAGTCATACCTCAAGATAATTGGTAATAACCAAATAATGCTGCCATCATTATTGATTGTAGCTTTTGTTTTTCCATAAACATCCAAACCTTGAAATTCTGCATCTGCACTGAAAATTTTTTCACAAATAATTTTATGTTTCTAAATTAACGTTTCTTAAAACAATGTGAATAAATGTTTCTTATACAATCTAGTAGACAATTAAACTAATTTACACCAACATTTTTGTAAAATATTTAGGCAAAAGGAAAAACAGGGCAAAATTTTTTGAATAATAACTCAACAAAAAATTTAAAAATAAATAAAAAAAAAAACCTTTTACATTTCGTATTTTAAAATAACAATTGGCTTTTTGAAATATTGTAAACGTGATTTTATACGCATAAATTTGTTTTTTGCATTTTTTTAAATTCATGTGTATTTAGAGTTACTTAAGTTATAGGAGTTAGCAGTTTTTTAAATTTTATAAAATTGGAGACAGAAAACGCAAAAAAGTCATCTTGCCCGGTTCTCGTGGCCAGATTATTTATTTTGATTTTTATTACAAAATTTTTTACTTGCAAACTAAAAATTAATGCATGAATTATTATGATAAAAGGTAAAAAGTTTTATTTCTTTGTAACTAATAGTTTTGGTCAGGGTTTTCAAAACGTTTGCCATCTTGCCTCGTGTTCCACCAGAACCACTTTTAAGTAATTTAGGCGTAAGATTATTTTAAAAAAACATTTTAAAAACAATTTAGGTTTACCAAAATTTTTGTAAACAAATATGCATATTGCTTAAATTGGCATGCTAAATATACAATGAAAATAAACGCTTTTAAAATGTCTCAAAGTATCATCTTTTTGTTGTATATAAACAGTATATTAAATCATCTGTAAATATTTTTATAACTTACTTGTTGTAAAGAGTTATATCTGGTTTCCATATTCTATTTGAACTGACTGTCACACTACTGATACCTTCCCAGTCACTAGCATTCCATTGAAAATGTTTCTCGTGCCAGTACTTAGTTAAAAAAAAATATCAATCATTCATATTTCCATAGAAAAACAGTACACACTTTAAATAAAGAAGATTAATATGCAAACAATTTATTGTACATACTTGTCTTACCCATACATATAAATGAAGCACTTCATTTTTTTCGTTCTGTATGCAAAAAAAAAAATATATATATATATATATATATATATATATATATATATATATATATATATATATATATATATATATATATATATATATATATATATATATATATATATATTAAATAAAATATGAGTAATTTTTGAAAAATTTAACTAAACTGCACTTATTATTTATAAAAAATAAATTAAGTATGAGTAATTTTGTAGTTTATTATTACTAGCTGATCTATATCCTAATATAATATAGGTCAGCGATAGAATTACATATAGTATAATTCATATTATGTAATTTATTATTACTAGCTGACCTATTTGTAACTTATTATAACTAGCATGTAGGAGCCGTAAAAATACGGGTTTTGTAAGTTTCTTCCACACCGACCTTTTTTATACATTTTCCATTTAAATATATGATTTACATCTAATTAAAAATTTAGAAATCTCTTTGGTTATTCTAAACAGTATTATTTAAAAAAAAAACTATTGTTTGATTGACTTGGTTTTGGATTAAATGTTGCGCCTATAGTAGTGAAGTCTGTTACAAGTGACAAAATTGTTTAAGACGTAATAAATAAGTCTATATTAAATATTTTCGGCTTTTATCAAATATTAAATCAAACACAATTCAAGATCTACAAAACAGATTTTATTCTATAATGACGTGATTGGCGTCAAATAGTTCTTAAGAATATAAGTCTTCTCCGTTTTAAGAAAGTTTTAGTACGGCTTACTCTTGAATAATACTCTAAGAAAGAAAGTAGTCGTCGAGATACTTTGGCCTTTTAATAGTACGTCCTGTTCGTGAGATTATATAAGGTTGTGTGTCAGGAGTAATAACCTTTTGAATAGATGGTTGGTTAGGTACTGTTGTAGTTGATTGATCATAAGAGAAGCTATCTTTTATTGGATTTCCAAACGGATGCAGTAGGTTCGAAACTACTTCGTTGGTATCATTTAATTCAACTTGTTTTCTTTTTCCAGAATTGTGTTTGTTGTTACTAATTACAATTTCGTTGTTGTTCGAGCATTCGGGGTGTTGTTGGACTGGTTCTATTAAGGGATTTCTATCTTGTAGTGGAGCAAGATCTTTTGTTGAAACTGTATCAATTTTTCCATTTTGAAGTTTCACGCGTGCGAAATGAGGCGATATTGTTTCTAATAGTTGAACTCTGTCGACAAGTGGATCTCCCTTTAATCGTATCTGACGTCTGTATAAAACTGTCGAATCCTGCTCTGTTAAGAAGTTTGGTAGAACTGTACCTATTATTGATGAACGCTGAAAGTTCATCATCCTCTGATGAGGTGTCTCGTTCGTAGCAGTACACAGAAGTCCTCTTATAGAGGATAGAGCCATTTGCAATGCTACCTCCCATCTATCTTTTCCCAGACTCAATGTTTTTAGGGCCAGACTAATAGCTTTAAGTATTGTTCCATTCATTCTTTCACATTGACCGTTGCCTTGTGGGTGATATGGAGTAGTTCGAGTTCGGATGACACCGTTTCTTTCTAGGAAAACCTTAAGTGATATACTTTCAAACTGTGTTCCTCGATCTGTATGCATAGATGATGGTGCACCAAATAATGAAAAAAGACTGAGAAGGTGTTGTATCACAGTGTTAGCTGTTATATCCTTACAAGGGAATCCAAATGGGTAGCGAGAGTATTCGTCTACTATCACGAGGATGTATTTATTAGCTGAGGTGGATTGTAAACGTCCCACAAAATCCATAGATAAGCGTTCCCAAGGTCTCGTAGCCTGAATAAGACGACCAGCTGGAGGTTTGTAGAAGCGCGGTTTGAGTTCGTTACAGGTGGTACATTGGCTTCTTAGTTGTTTAATTTCATTGGTAGAGTAAGGTAGATTTCGGGTTTTGCAATAATGTATCATTTTTTTAATTCCAGGATGACATAGTTGGGAGTGAATATTGTAAAAGGTTTTATTGGTGTTTTGAATTGAGCAACATCGAAAAAGGGCATCGGCTACGATATTTTGATTTCCTGGTCTGTATGAAATTGTATAATTAATATCTGCTAATTCTAAACGCCATCGAGTCAGTTTTTCGTTTTTAATTTTTGTTGAAACCTGTTTATTGAAAATAAGGGAAATGGATCTTTGGTCTGTAATTATAATGATGTATGGTACTGAATTAATTAGGTGTTTCCATCTTCTACAGCATTCTACAATAGCAGCTGCTTCTTTCTCGACAATTGCGTGTTTTCTTTCAGCGTTTGATAGTGTTCTTGAGAAGAAGGCCACGGGTCTGCCTAGTTGAAGTAACGTTCCTCCCAGTGCTGTGTCAGAGGCATCTGTTTCAATAGTAAGTGGAACTTTGAAATTCAGGGAGGCTAGACAAGCTTCTGCAAGTTTAATTTTGAGCTTTTTAATTGCTTCTTTTGCCTGTGGGGTCAAGCCCTTTGTTGGAAAGTTGTCTCTTGCTTGAGTAAGCGGTAGAGTAAACTCGGTACAGTTATGTATCCATTTAGCGTAGTAGGCGAATAAACCTATCATTCGGTTTAATTCTTTTAAGGTTTTTGGTTCTGGCATATTTATAAGAGCTTCATATCTTTTAGGTTCGGGTTTTAAGGTTCCATTTTCGATGATATGGCCTAAGAATTCGATATGAGTTTTTTTAAATTTGCTCTTTTCTTTGTTTATTTCTACGTTGGCAATTTGAGCAGCATGTAGGAAACGGCTAAGATTTTTATCGTGCTCTTGGTCATCTTTTTCACCAATAATTGTATCATCGAGGTACGCATATGTATTTTCTAGTTTATTATTTTGAATAAATTCATCCATAACCCGCTGAAAAATTGGTACAGCATTTGTGCAACCAAAAGGTAAACGTTTAAACTCGTATAGTCTGCCATTTGCTTCGAATGCGGTTAGCTTGTAATCTTCAGGTCGTATTTTTACCTGATGGTAAGCCGATTTGAGGTCAATTGTACTAAAGACTTTATGAGCAGCTATCTTAAGTATCAAATTGTCGATTCGAGGTGTTGGGTATGAATCGAGTGGAGTGTGTGTCGATTGATTGTATTTGAATAATCAATCACAAGACGGCTTTTGTTTCCTGATGATACTACAAAACATTGTGCACGCCAAGGACTACGGCTCACTTGGATTATATCTTGCTTTAACATACGGTTTATCTCGTCTGTTATGAAGGAGTTATTTTTAGGAACCCGTCGTGATGTTGTAGCGACTGGCTTAATTTTGTCAATGTTCACTCCAGGTATCAATGCGTAAGTAGTACACTTCATACTCTTTGTTGCCAGACAGAACTTTAAGGGCTCTTTATTCCCTTTAAAATTGATCGTAATTGAGGTATGTTGTGTTAACACGTCCATTCCGATAATTACTGGTGCTACCGAGTTGTCTACAACGAGGAATTGCATTTTCAATTTTTCGCAAGCTAATAACAATGAGCCTTGGAAGATTACTTTTAATGTCAAATTATCTGCCAATGATACTTTTGAGGTAGATTGATTATCGTAAGGAAGGTTCCAATGTTGAAGAAGTTCTGATGTAATAAACGTTTTATCGGAGCCAGTATCTATCAGGGCCTGTGTTATATTTTTGTTAATGGTGACGTTAATTAGTCTATCAGGTGAGTTGATTGCTGCTATGACCGTAGATACTATTGCGTTATCGTTTTCTTCATGATATTCCTTAACAACTGCTGCTTTAGTGTAGGTCTTATTTTGTTTCTTTAAGAGGCAGACAGTTTTTATGTCATTTGCCAGTCTGCACTATGTGCTTTGGTCCTGGTCATAATACAAAAAAAAGTTGTCTCAGATTTTTGAACTAAATTCCTACTTTAAAATACTCAATATTTTTACTTTGGTGGAAGTAATCACAGAGATAGTGACCATCAAAGTCAAAAATAGTTGCCAAATTTAAGTTTAAAAAAAAAATTATATGAAGTTGTTTTTATTGCAGTGTTTTGTGAATATTTTTTTTCCTGCTAATTTTTTTATACATTAGAGAGTATCAAATTATATACGTCTTAAGATGCTCAAGAAAAAAAAAAACTTTTTTCTTTTTTCAATTTTCATGATGCTTTAAGCAGAAAAAGTTTAAATCACAACTTCCAACTTCCATGAACTCGTAAAAAATATAGTATCAAAAGGTATCGACCAAACTATTATTAAATAACGTGGAATTAAGTCTAGTTTTAAAAAATTAAAAATTTAGCTGCGACTTTTTGCGACTATGCAAGAAATTTCTTTTTAAAGTTTGCGCTACCTGGATTATAGCCAATTTTCAATTTTTTGTTTTCCTAATTGATAATTGATCAAAAGTCTGACTATGTATTCAATAATCAATTTAAAATGATAGTTTATAATTTAATTAAGTAATTATTTGCATATGTGTTAACATCCTATGCCCCAGCAGGCACACAACGTTGTACTAACGTTGTATTTATGTTAAAATTGCTTTTTACGTTACTTTACGTTAATTCAACGTAATCTTTTTAACGTAATGTTCTTACGATAAGCTAACGTTGACACAACGTTAAAAAAACATTAAAGTATTATTAATACTTTAATGTTTTTTTGTTAGGTTTAATGTTAGGTTAAACCTAATATTTTAACGTTGAGCTAACATACGGGCAACGTAAAAAAATAAAGAAATATTAACGTACGTAGTTCTGCTAACTATAAAAAAATCTGCATTAAATAATTATTTATTTTTTCTTTTATTATTATTATTATTATTATTTATTATTATTTAAACTCAATTACAGTTGAACAACTTTGCCTTTATAAATACAATATCTTTATAATTTATATAAAATCAGTAAACTTATTTTTTTTTATTTTTTTTGTCCTTTTATTTCCGGTTCCTCTTCCACTGCTTGAGTAGTATATGCCAATGGCATAACGCGATAGTTATATTAAGAGACAACTCCGTTAAATATGTTGGCCCCTATAATATCGAAGCCTTTACTACCTTGTCGGTTTGCCGCTTTTTTAATGATAAGGTTCAAGTCACCGTTGAATTTAAACATTTAAGCTATTGATGGATGACATACTCCAGACAATGCCGACTTGACTACTCTTGTTGCATGAACATTTCTTCTTTCCCCCAAGGTGCACAGCTTTAGTTCGTCCAAAAGGGGAGCCGAATGAGTGTTTCTTGGTTTATGACAGATGATACGGGCACACTGCTTTTGTATTATGTCAAGTCTCTTTAGTTGCGCTTTGGATTGACCTAGGTATAATATACTGGCATATTCTAATTGACTCCGTATAAGTCCTTTATAAGCTATATATTTAAAAGTTCCCTCGGAAGCCTGACAGATGCTTTTGCTAATAATCCCATACTAGAGTGGCATTTTTTAACGGTTGTATCGATTTGTTCTTTGAATTGGAGATGTTGATCTATAGTGACTCCTAATAGCTTAACATGAGTTACTGGTTGAACCTCAGTATTTTCAATTTTAATGTGTAGGTTATCAGGAACTCTTTTTCTCGGTAATTTGAACACTATCAGTTGCGTTTTACTGAGGTTAATAGTGAAACCATAATCAACACAGAATTTATTTGTATCTCCATACGCTTTGATTAATTTTTCCGTGACAATTTGTAGTGAGCTGTCTGCAGCTGATATGGTAATGTCGTCTGCAAATAAATAAGACTCAGTTGTTAATGATTGTGGGAGATCTCTTAAGTAGATTTTGAATAGTTCTGGGCTAAGGCCCTCAGACAAGTGAAGTCCTATTTTTACATTGAACTACTGATACTAGATGGTTATTTAGATTGTTTAAGTTGATTGTATTTTTATCGAGGGTTTGATTTTTATCTTTAGTATTGAAACACACTTTCTTAATATAATTCCAACCATCTTTAGGGTTTTTGCTTTGGAATGCTTCTGTTCCTTTTTCTATTTCAAACTTCCTTATAAGGCTTCTGATCTGTTTTTTAATATCCTTAAGTTCTTTTTCTTTTTTATCTGTAAACTCTATATGTTTTCCCTTTTTTTTTGCTAAATAATCTCTTCTTTTTATCATAACTTTTATTTTTTTGTCAATCCATTGAGGTCTAGTTGTTCGACATGGAAAGTTTTTAACAGGCGCAAATTCATCAATTATTGTTCTAATTGCATTATACCAAGTATTTACTAGTTCGTTTGTTGTCATTGATGGCTCAAGTTTAATTAATTCAATTCTCTTATTGAGGTCTTCAAAGTTTACGTTTTTAAACGATCTTTTAGATACAGGTTTCAGTTTGTTTATAATTGAATCTATTTTTATTAATGCTGATACAGAAAAATGATTACTGGTAGAGTTTTTACTTACTTTATACTTAAGGCATACTAGATTATGATCTATTGCAATTATATCTAAGCACGTGGAGCAACTATTTGATATTCTAGTGGGTTTAGTATTCTGAATCCTAACTCCAGCCAAGTTAAGTGAACATAATAGTGATTTACCTGGATTTACACTTGCTTTAATGAGATCTGTATTAAGATCACCCATTACAATTAAATAGTTATTATTGGAGATTTCTTTAATTAATTCATTAAAATTTAGCCACCATTCATTTTTTGCTTGAGGAACTCGATAGACACTTAACAAAACAATAGGTCTTAAGCCTTTTGACATGATCAGTTCTAATATTATAAATTCAATTTTTTTCAATTTGATTGATTTCTTAATATAGTTAATAAGTCCTCCACCAAGGAGGACTTATTAACTATATTAAGACTATGACATAATTATTAACTATATTAAAGACTATGACATAATTAATATTGTAAAAAACTAAAATAGACTCTAATGTTACTACAACTGCAATAGATATTCCAGGATATGTAACTATTAAAAAAGACAGAACACGTAATGTGTTCTGTCTTTTTTAATAGTTACATATCCTGGAATATCTATTGCAGTTGTAGTAACATTAGAGTCTATTTTAGTTTTTTACAATATTAATTATGTCATAGTCTTTAACATACTCATTAACCTCAAGCCAATGCGCCCGAAGCCCATTTATATTCCATGTTGTTAGCCAAATAGATTCTATGGTCTTTTTACGTCTTAGTCTTTTACTTTGTCTTGGAAGTTGCCAATCTAAAATCTTTAAAGATGGCGTATTAAATTTTTAAAAAATAAGTTTAGTTAAAAGATAATTAGCTAAGTTTGAAGGTTTGCATTGTCTTTTAAAAGACATTCGTGGAATTTTCAAAAAATATTTGAAACTTCCAAAAAAAACTTTAAATTGCTGATAAAAGATTTCATAAATGTTTGATTAAAAAGGTTTATTTTAGGAAAATAAATATATTATTATAATAATATATTTATTTTACCCTGCTTATTGAATAAATTTTTAATAATAAGTATTGTATTTCTGAATAAACATTTTATAGCAGTGTTTACGTACAGTTCTTTTCAGATTAACCATAAATACTAATCTCGATACCATTCAAATGTGTTTAAGTTTTAATATTTTGAATTTTGATAACACAAATATGATAATTAATGCTAAGACAATTACACAGAAAATTATTTTCATATTATTATCAGTGGTGGAGTGAAACATTTGTATTAGGGTATTCATTATTATAATTTTTTCTTCTTTTAATCTCATTTTAGGCTTGTGGGTTGTGCAGGGTTGTGCAACTATTTTATATTGCTTTAACAGAACCAAAATTTATAGCTAAGTTTAGATTTTTTAATAATAAGAAGAAGTAATATGTCGAATATTTTACAAACGAATATCAAGTCGGTTAGAACCTAATGCTCATGCAAATAAAGCTGTCATGGCAACCCTTTGAATCTGATAGTTATTCACTCTGAGCAATATAGTATAATATTTTAAATCAAATTAACTGCGGAAATGAATTTCAATAAACTGGTTGCTTTGCATATATTTTGACAAACAATGTAAGTATATTATTAATTTGAAACCGGAATGTCAATTTTTCAAATGTCTTCACCAAGCATCTGCTATGCATTAAGTGTTTAAAAAAATCAAACTGTAAAGTAAGTAAAATAAAATGTATTTTAAAATTTTCAATTATAGAAAGCATAGAGAGTCTTCAACAAAAACTCAAGTAAAGATCATATTGCAAATATTGAAAAGGCCTCTCCATTGGTAAATAAATGTCAAACAATATGTATAGAGAATGCAAGCAATTGTTAAGCAGATCTTTTTATATATTTATAGTATATACTATACCTGTAATCTTCTTGTATATTCACATTTTTAGTATTAATTTGTATATTTATTTAGTTATGTTTTAGTTAACATAATCTATTTAACTTAATAATTTAATCTTAAACTAATGAACTGAAAAAAATACAATTGACATTATTTTGCAAACTAAAGTTTAACGTTTACATTTTGTTGTTAAAAAACCTGTTATAGCTAATTTTTATTTTCAGGTTTTATTTCAAGCTACTTTTTATTTTAGTCTAAATAACCATAGCTAATAAAGGCCAGTAAATGCTCTTACTGTTTTTCCAAAAATTGTTTTTAGCTTATTTTCTAGCACAATTATGACTATTAACTAGTACTATTTAATAAGACTTTTAACTTTAAGATTTTAATTATAATACAAACATTCAACTGTATGATTTTAATTATGACAATTGTATACAAACATTCAACTATATGAAATTAATGAGCTAGCAAGTAAAAAAACTTACATACAACAAATGTAGTTTGATGAGAGGATAAGAATATTAACTTTTTAAAGTTTAGGAAATGTAAGAATATTATCTTTTCTAAATAAGTTTTATCCTGTTTTTTTATTAATAAAAATTAATTTTTCTTATTATTATTATTTTTCATTGTATTTAGTTTTCATTATTATCTTGTTATTGTTAAAACTACTAAAATTTATGTTTATTTCAGAATAATAAAAAAGAATAAACAAGAGAAAAATCAATACTTGAGGGAATGGCGCCAAAGTAATCGAGCCTTAAACAATGTACTTGTAAATGAAGAAATTGACTCACATCACATGTCGACTGTATTAATAATATTAATAGAGTCGAGAGTTGAATTGATTTCAAAAACATTGAAATTAAGAACTATAGTGACTTTTATTTTGTCTCTGATCATAAATATACTTCTGGAACTGAGAGTTCTATTCTAGACTCTGAGGTTCCTGTGAGTGATGATAATGAAGATCTTCATGACGTACTTGTTGCATAACGTACGAGTACTTGTTACAGAGATTGCCAAATGAATTTTTAAAACACAGAATAACTAGAAATGCAAGTGACAAGTTGTTAACCATTTACACCAGTATAGTTATAATGTTGATTTACCAAAATGTACAAGGAAAATTTTAAATACTCCTAGGAATATTCCAAGCAAGTTAAAATGTGGGGGTTAGGTTTTTTACCTTGGTGTTTCAAATGACAAATCAAGAACTTTAGCAATCAACCAGCATTACAGATTTGAGTCAAATACAATTTCTTTAGTTGTCAATGTAGATAGCATTCCCTTATCAAAGTCATCAAACACACAGGTTCGGCCTATATCATGTATGTTTGACAAAGTGACACCATTTACTGTAGCATTATTTGTTAGTGATATCAAGCCAAATAATTGTGATGATTTTTATATGATTTTTTGCATGAGTATTAGTTATTATTTGCAAATGGTTTTTAGTATTATATATATAACTTCAATTAATTCTTGAGAAAAGGTGTTGCTAATGTGCCAATAAAAAGTCAGATAGTGTAAACATAACCATTTTTAAAAAGATAGAGTCCCTTGAGGAATTTTATGAGCTTAAAACCAGATTAAAAGACAACAGAAGGGAGAACAGTAAGTTGGCAATTTATATTTATAATTTCTATTTTTAAAGTTTGTCTGTTTAATAGAATGCTATTTAAGTTCATCGTTTTCTTGATGAGCCTATTTAAATCATTCTTACATTTTACCACAATATGGTGTAAAAAGTAAATTCCTACTTATAAATCGAGAATTAACTTAGTGACCTGATAACCATTTTCATTCTGTAGAGTTTTTTACAGTCTTGTATTTTTGTTAAACTATTTTGTCTTATATTTGGTTGAGCAATTATTATTTCGTTGCTTTGATAGAATAACTGTGAAAAACAACCTAATAAATCTAATCCTGTGTTATTCCAACATGAAATTTTCTCTAAATTTTTATTTCTGTTTTAGCTTTGTCACGTCATAAAAGCAGGTGGAAAAATGTTAAAGAAAATACAAAAAATGTTATGGTCAGGTATGTATTTTTGTTTAACTCTGAATAATCAAACTGTTTAAATTGTGAGTAAATTGTATAGAAAAATCTAGCCAAAGGAAAGTAATTGAGAAAAACAAACAATTTTAGTATTAATGTTTGGGGAGAACCTTAACGCTTATTGAATGGGACAAAATCAAATTTACATTTATAGATATCCAAACTCCTGTGGTAAGAAATGTTAAACACAACAATTTAACAGACCAAACCATTATTCCTATCATGGTCTAAATATGATGGGCCAAACATAATATTAGAAATGTTGCATTAATGGGAACTAATAGCACATTTGGAATGGTGGGAGCATTTTTTTTTGTTTTGGTGCGAGAAGTTAAGTTTAATTTATTTTTGAGCTTTTTTGTAAATTTAACCATTAACTCTCACATAGTGTGAGAGTAAATGGTTATCAAATAATTTTCAATGTATAAATTAAGCAAATTTATCAACTTTTAAAAAGCATTTTACAAAAACTGCCCCATTTATTTAGGTTCTCCCCTACAGGTTTCACTTTTAATTCAATGTCGAAACTTTGAATTTATAAGTTTATAAAAAAAAAAAGAACCTTTCCAAATTATACTTTTTGAATTATTACTCCAATGTGTATTTACAATTATTTAAATAAGTTTGCTGGATCACTTAATGTAATATAACAAAGTAGTTATTTTCCATTTATTATTTGTTATGACGTTTTTAGAGAATTATGGAGCATCATGTTAAACCCAAGTTCAATATGAAAAGCAAACTTCGTGGTGATATAAAGAAGGTATCATTCGAAAATAAAAAGTTGTGTAAAGCAATAATTTTGGTACGTTAATAATAGCTTAATATTGTGCTATCTATCCTTTCTTCCTTTCATATGTTTTTTATTCTTAGATATATATAAGTCTTAAACCTTGAATGTTAGCATTGAAAATCAAACAAATAGTCAATTATAAACAAAATAAATTTTTAACTGTTATCCCGTTTACAATATCCCGTTTTGTATTTTAGAAGTCATCCAGCTAACGCACGAGAGTTCGACGGAAGCAAACAAAAGATCAAATAGGAAGCATTTTAAAGTTCTCTCCATTAAACAATTATTTATTTTTGAGTTTTTTTGTAAATTTATAATTCAAAAGAATATATAATACATCTTTAAAAAAGTCTTTAAAAACATTTATTGTATTTTTAGTTTGAATATCCCCAAAACTATTTTTCTAACCCTTTTTAAGGGGTTAAAAACCTTTATATTAACTTTGAATATTGATTGTAATTGTGTTTAACATTTAATGTTAATATATATGGTTATATTCATATAATAAGCATGACACGAAGCCGCGTATAAGGGCTTTGGCTCAGGGTTTTTTGAATATAACAATAGCTATATTAACGTTAAATATTACACAATTACAATCATTATTTTACATTAAAATAAAACGCCAATGTTTTTCCAACTTGTATTTACATTAGTATAACGTTAATCTAACTTTAGAATTTTACGTTAATATAACGTTAATATCTAACGTAAATCTAACGTAAGAATTTTACGTTACAAAACCTTTCCATTTTGCCAACCGGCAACTTTATACTAACATAAAATCTAACGTAAATAAAACGTTAAGACAACGTTGTGTACCTGCTGGGAGCTTAATCAGCATATAATCTACTAAAATTAAAAGCAATGGATTTTACAATAAAGATATTATTAGCTGTTTTAAATATTTAACAAAAGAAGAAAATATAAACAATGCTTTACTTTTCATAACTTCTAGAGTTTTTATGAGAGATGGTAAAAAAGAAAACTTCGTACAAAAGTTAAATGGATTTGAATCAAATTACCAAAGATTTTGGAAAGATTTATAAAGAAACACAGTTTTTTTTGAAAAGAAACAAAAAAATGGTTGCATCAAAAGTTTGAAATAAACTTTTTGTCATTGGAATTGGAACAAAATATAAAAGATTTGATCATATGAATAAGAGAAGTAAACGTTGGATAGTTGCAGGAGAGCAAAATTTAAATTTTGATTCAATTGAAAATTCATTACATACAGCCTGTAGAAAAGTATATATGAAAAAAGATTTTTCTTTATTAAATGTGTTTACACATGTCATCAAAAGTCATAAAGATTCACATCATATGTTTGTTCAGATAACAAATGACAACGATAAAATAACAGCTGAAGAAGCCGCTGCAATAATAATTGATGTAGATCTTAGCATATCTGGGTATAAAAAATCTAATAGGTATCTACAGTAAGATATCCGTCTAATTCAACAGTTAAAAAAGAACTTAAGTTGTGTGTTCCACAGAATAATCACATGGAAGCCAGTTAAAGTAGATTCACAAGCACTTGTGAATCGTACCGCTGAAAGAATTGTAAAGATGAGGCAAAAAGAAATAAAGGGTTATTTGGATATCAGTAACAAACTAAGTGAAAATATTTTGCTTTTAAACAGTAGGGGTATGGATGAATCTACTGGGCAGGCTTTGAACAACGAAGTGTTTCCCGATTCTGTTGACAGTCAAGATTTAAGCATGTTTGCACTTGTAACAACACCTCCGAGGCTTAGTGTGTCAAATTCAAAAAATGACTTTTTGTGAACCAACTTAATGCCTCTTAGTGTCAGATTTTATCAATTGAACTTCATTTCATCAAAGAAGCTGCCGTAGTCGTTTAAAAAAAAAAAAGTCAAATAGAAAATAAAATTATGGATTTGCATTCAGTGAATAATGAATTGGTTAATGGATAGTTTTTTATTATTGATTTCAATTTTATTTTGTGCATGATTGATGGTAAGGTTTTAGCAATTATAACAAACACATCGTCAACGCAGTGCTGTTGTATTTGCGGAGCTACACCAACTGCAATTGCAGTTCTTCAAACAAGTCATTAATTACTTGTTTGAAGCTACACCAACTTGCAATTTAGCTACACCAACTTGCAACTTGAAAAAAAAGCTACACCAACTTGCAACTTGCAATTGCACTTCTTCAAACAAGTCATTAATGACTTGTTTGAAGAAGTTTTTAAGTGGATTTACAGCAAAAAAAGGTGCACTTATATATGGGATATCTCCCAAAAGAACTATGCGAAACATTAGGGATTGATAAGACAATTATTAAAATGTTTAAAAATTGCAATAAGTTGTCAGCAAACATTGAATCCAGAGTTATTTGAGCTATACTGTAAAACAGTATACCGTCGATATTTAAATCTGTATGATTGGTATAAACTGCCGTCAATAGTTCACAAAATTCTTGCACATGGAGCAGAACTAATGATAGACTCGTCAGTTCCCTTAAGAGTTTTAGCCGAGGAAACATCTGAAAGCCTAATCAAATATTACAGACGACATCGTGAACTATATGCTCGTAAATGTTCAAGACAAGCAAATTTTATAGACGTCTTTTACTGTGCAATGAGATCATCCGATCCTCTTATTAGTTTTATCTCCTTGGAATATAGACGAACAAAGAAAGTTGTGCTCAAACTTCCAGAAAAAGTAAAGAGCTTTTTATTTTTAAAAGTAAACAATAAGGAATCGATAAAACCGACAGAATTAGTAACCTCAGAAATTATTAATTTAGAGAATGAAATAATTAGATTTAGAGTCGGCAAAATTGGATTTATAGTTGGCAGTTGGCAAATTTCGGAAAACAAGGACCTCTTTTTTTTATTTTTATTTTTACATAAGTTAGTGGACAAAATTTTTTTTTGGCTTTTGTCGGCGAAAAACAAACACATCATTTTTTTTCCTTTTAAAATTGGGTCAAAACGCAGCGCCGTCCAGGTGTTTGAACTAAATAAGTTAATAAATAGTTAGTTTAAATGACATAAAGATTAGTTAAAAAACAGTTGAAGAAAGTTATTACTTTCTTCAAAATTGTTTTTGGCCACCCATTTGTATAAAAATACGACATTGTGCCAGGACGGAAAATTTATGATAAATAAGAAACCTTAGTCGCAACCCGGTGTACTAATAAAGTAAACACTTGAAAAATAAAAATGGCTAAGTATATAGTAATTGAATACAATTTTTATGTAAGATCATAGGGAAAAGTTAATTTTATCAAAACAAATTTAATAAGTTACTCACCAGTTTTAACAATTTCGATAAAGCTATGTCAAATGTTAAATTAACATTTTTATTCGGTTTAAAATCAGGATCATAGTTCCGGAATAAATTAGCATGTAAATTTTCTTCTATATGATAAGCCACTAACAAATTAATTATATACACATATACATAAGTTTTATATATATATATATATATATATATATATATATATATATATATATATATATATATATATATATATATATATATGTATATATATATATATATATATATATATATATATATATATATATATATATATATATATATATATATATATATATATATCAATATATCAATATATCTTACATAATTTTAACTAACCCAAAACATTTCTGAGCACCACTCCGACAAAAAGAACGGTGATCATTTTTTTTTCATCGGTTTTATATACTAGTTTTAGGCAATGTAGCCATTATTTTTCTTATTTTCTATCTAACATTAAAAAAAATTGTTTTTTATTTTAATGAAGGAAGTATGAATTAGGAATTCAATCAATAGGAATTCAATTTCAAATACGCATAATATGCGTAGAAGTATATACTTTTTCAATAACAATAGAATAATACTCTAATAATACCTTTCTTTATCTCCTGTCGCATTATCATTAAAAAAAAACAATATTCGAAAAAAATACTTTTCTAATTATATTATAAATATAATTAAAGTAATTAATCTTTATAATTAATCTCTTTAACATTTGTATTAATACTTAACTCGAAAAGAAAGATTTCTTCATTGTTGCCTTTGATAATCAGAGAGCAAACATTTTTTTTTTTTTTTTCAAAACAAAGTATTTGAAGGCTTTGAAAATGCCGAAAATTAGCATTGCACAAAAAAAAAAAAATATTTACGAGTATTTTTTTAAGCATTCTTTTTTGTTGTTAAAAAAATTAATTTGTTATATACCATTGCCTCCAAGGCAACGGTATAAAATGAATGAACTTTTTTTAGAGCATGTTGTTGATCTGTGTTTCACTAATCTGAATTTTTTAGCAAATAAATAAGTTATTAGGGGCTCATTAAAAGAGTTTAATGCTAAAAAAAATTCTATATAAAGTATTAAATCTTTTATTCTTTTTATATTAGAAATCGTACAACTATAGATATAGAAAATACTCAACTGGAATTAATTTAAAAGTGTCGTATTTTAAAATGGAAGCTCTATATGATTTTTTTTTGGGAAAAATTTTAGATTATAGTTTTTAGATTTTAGTTTTGTTTATCGGATAAATTCACGACAATTCTGTCAGCAGAACATTACCAAGCCAACATTTACATACGGGTACCGTATAAATTTTGTCTGGGCTCATGAGAACGGGATTTTAACGTATATGCGATTTGGTTTCCGGACGGGTCCCATATGGTAGAAAAATCAAGCTAACATGCTTGACTAGGTTCTATCTAATTTTTATCAGGGTCAATGGAGCTGGGGTTTTGACGGGTTCCTCATTAGACTCCCAAAAGGTTCAAACTTATAATTGAAAAAATAAGCACAAACTTTACTCGATGGTTGCCATTTACAATTCGTATTATATGTAAAATGTGTTTAAAAATTTAACTTTTATGTTTTATATTTTTTGTTTACAATTATATTTACATTATAATTAACAAGTAATGTTTTTTCGGAGTATTTTTTCACAGAGAAACTCTAATAAAAAGGTGTTGTTTTAGAAATTTATTAATTACCATTCTAAATTTTAAAATAGAAATAAATAAATGAAATTCTAAAACAACATCTTATATTTTTTGCTTGGAACACACTGAATGTTGATAATATTTTTGTTTCATGCACACTGACAATATTTGCATACTAATATGATTAAAGTTCAACAACCAGATTGCTATTAACGACATATACAAGTAGCAACAGTTTGTGAATATAATTATAATAATAATAATAACTACTTTAATATATTGTATCAGTACAGACTTATGTATGATAGAATTGGATGAATTTTGGAGACTGAGAATTATAAATTTAATGTTTGGAGTTAATATTCTTTTTATTTGTTACTACGATTAGAGTATCGAGAGAAATTATTTTTTATCTAAAGAATATTTTTTATCTAAAGAATATTTTCTCAAGTATTAAAGTATTAAAAAACACATAAAAATATAAAAAGAAAAGTAAAAGAAAATATATATATCAATATCAAAATCATTACGTTTTTAGAAAAAGTAAGGATTGTGGAATTTAGCTTTAGCTTCAAACTAATCTTCAAATTAAAGCTGAAGCTGATCGAGTAAATTTAATCATAACGATTGTAATGATGGTAGAGAAAGTAATAGTGGTTGTGCACGAATTACTCAATAATTATATTATATATAAAAAAACAACATGTAAGAAATTATTCAATGAAAATTTAAAATAGTGACACAATTAAACATACATATAAAAAATTTGAAATCAATGTTGCCAAAAGTTATATATGCTGTTTATATATGTTGCTTTCAGGGCTAGGGGTATCTATAGGGTAACTAGGGCGCTTAGGACTCTTAGGAAGCTTATGAATAACAATTTTTGGGGACCAGAAATGGATTCAAATTTTCTACTAAATTGGTATGGTTTTTAGAATATTGTTAAAAAATTATATTGCTTTTATGATTGTAAAGATTGTTACACAACAATTTAACATTTGTACAATTATATAGTTTTGTAAAGTTTTTTTACACAACACTTAACGATTGCAAAACTATAATTACCTTCGAGGTTAACCCCGCACGGAAAAATTCCTTAATGAATGTAAATAAAAGCTGAAATTAATAGTATTAAATATGTATACAATTTTAATATATAATAATATATCTGTTTGTTTTATTAGTTTATTTTGCTAAGGTGTCACTCCATTGACAAGTTTTTAGCTATATGAGTTACTAATTTTACATTTAAATAATACCAAACCTGTTTTTATAAATTATAATCATATGCCTAATTTTTAATATTATGGATAAAAAGAATTAATAAAAAATACAAATGATTATTAGAGATCAATATTTTAAACAGAATCTGAATTTTTAGTAATATATGTCAATAGATATTACTCAAAATTTGAAGTATAGTAATGATGATGAATGGACTATAGAGAAGTGGTAGAAAAAAAAAAGTAAAAAATTAAGGACTGATAATTAGTCCATTTTTGAAAATATTTTAAGCATGGAAGGATTTCAAGATCTGGTCCTAAGATCCTAACATGGTGAATGGCATTCACTGACATGCTGTATGACGAAAACGAAAGCATTTTTTTTTTAAGTAAAAACCATAAATTTATTGTTAATTGATCATAATGAATATGATAAGTATATTTAGAGTTTATTTGACAAAAATTAAAAACTTTTTTATTGGGCATAGTAAAAAAAAAAGAATGTCGTGTTTAAGCGAAAGATTATGTTAGGGAGATTATTATGATATACTTTTAAGGTAACACACAGCTTTCTGAAATATAGACATCACCGAAAATGATTCCAGTAGTTGCAATAGTAAAAAATTAAGGAACAAAACTCTTCAGAAGAATTACTATCATATGAGTACCTAAAATATGTTTAAAGTATAAATAGTTATTCCTTAACACTTAAATCAATATAGTCATCAAGCACTTTTTCAGTATAACTATCATTTGCTGAATCTTTTCTGATTATTTTTAATGAATCATCATTAACAATTAAAACAAACTTTTAATAAAAAAGAAAGCACCTATAGCTGTATGAATTTGTATGACAAATTTTTCAAACAGTATTGGCCCTAGCCCGTAAGGGTTAGTATTACAATCATCGAAGCACGGCTATTTTCCAAACTACAATTACTGTCAGCGCGGAAGAGGATATTTGTCCTTGGAACACGTCTGGGCTAGTTTTAGAATCAGAAGTAAGTTATAAATGCATGCATAGGTGTTAAATTCATTATGGTTTTCTGAAGTATGACTGGGCTGGCTTGGTGTACTTCAGAGATAAATCTTTTAACGCTGGTTACGTACAGCACAAGACTTTACTAAACGACATAAACAGCACATACTTACACATAACATCAATACATCCATATGTCCATACAGCCTGTTTTTCATTTTTGCTTTTGTTCTTTTATAGATAAACTATCTTTGTTTGAACTCATATGTATATATATATATATATATATATATATATATATATATATATATATATATATATATATATATATATATATATATATATATATATATATATATATATATATATATATATATATTTCAGGCGTGGATCTAGGTTATAGCCGTTATGGCTAAGGCTACACCTTAAAATAATCAGCAAAATATAAAACAATATAATACTCCAACATATTTTTAAAATAAAAATAATACAAATATATTTATATTACTTTTACTATATATAGTTAAGATAAGTTTATTTTATTTGCTGTGTAAATTCGGCTTTAAAAGCGACTTAAAACTAGTACTTAAAATTAAAAAAAAATGGAATTAAAAAAAAGATCGGTCATTGCATATCGGTTTGTGGCTGAGCCACAAACGAGCTGATTTTACGGCATAAGCTGACTAAATTTTTTTTTTTTTTTTAACGTAATATATTTTCATTGAAAAGTCGTATGCCGTCAACACTCGTAGCCCGTGGCTAGATTGCTTTTTGCCGTGTGGCTGTACTTATTTCCCAGTCTTTTTATGCCCAGCTATTTTCAAATAAGCAAAGCGCCTTTATTATTTTCTTAGTAAGTTGGTAATTATGACGGATATGTCTTGAAAAATAACTGTTCCAAATGCTATTGATTCACACATTCATGACATTAAATGTTGCGAAAAAAATTGTTTACAAAGCGAAATGGTTTGAATATCTCAAAAGTTTAATTTCTTAGTTAAACTTTTGGCTTGATAATGCCTTGATATAAATGTTTTTATGCCATATTTTAAAATGAATCAAGGTTTTGACAAAACTTTTGTAGCTTTAAGGTATATTTTTAACTATATTTTCACGGACTATACTTGTAATAAAAATAACTTGCTTTTTATAACTGTAACTAATACAACTGTTTCTGTGCTTATTGTTTTAAAATTCTATAAGCATTATTATTTTATTAAACAGGTTAATACTATATAATAATAGTTTTGCCACAGAGCTATATAAACAATTTTTATTGTTTTTTGCTATAAATGTCAATAATTAAAATATTAGATTTTTATTTCTTCAAAAAAAAATTTAATCTTCAAATTAAAGCTTTAATTAAAGAGGATCTTATCATTTGATTCTATTGTTAATTAGAATCAAATATAATACAATAATTCGAGACTGTAATATAAAAAAGCCCTCAAGAAAGAGTTGAAGGAAATATTTTCGAACTACTTAATTTTGTAATTTATGCAGGTGACACTATCTTATTCTATCACATTTACACTATCACATTTTTTCTTAAACCACACAAAATCAACTTATGGAGTGTTGTAGTGAGGCTTTTGAGAAGGTTCTTACTTCTGAAATCAATAATAGTAAATACTATTCAATTTATTTAAATGTACCCTTAGT